CTGCGCCTTTCATGCTCGTGGCGAGCGGGCTGCGGCGCCCCTGCCACCCGCCCGTGATTTCCGACCCGCCGCGGTGTGCTGGGGAGCCCGAGCTGGTTGTCATAGGGTAAGGCTGGAAACGCTCCTCAGGCCTCTGGCGCGTCCCTCCCTGCAGCCTCCGCGCGCGTGCAGGCTGCGGGCAGCAAAACCGCCCTGTGCCGGGCCGGGTTACACGTGCGTGTGTGTGTTTAGGGGGGTTGTGGACACATGTATGCAAATATGGATAGTGTGGGTATCCATATAGAGCTCTCGGATGGCTAGGCTACGTGGATAGTGTACTAAACACATGGGGGGGGGGTAATCAGGAAGAAGTAGTGGTGTACATTTGGCATGATTTTATAAATGACAAGAAGTCGTCTCAAAGGATCACCGATAAAATCTTGGAACTGAACCATCATGTGTTATACTATGCTGTATTTTCTGAGGAAGAAACTGTTTTACAGTGCCCGTTTTGTTTTGTTGTTATTACTGGGTAAATGCAGGCTCTCTTAGTGCCAGGAAAACAACTAGCACAGACCTCTGGGAGAGAGCCAGAGAAATCTATTACATTAAAATTCTGTGTGGCTAGAATCTGTTTACACGTTATCATTTCATGATTTCCATTTCAGTGTCTCAGCACCTCAGAATCTCTCCTTTTGAAAAGTATGACCTCCTCAGAATCTCTCCTTTTGAAAAGTATGAGATTCCTTTGTTAGCATTCAGGAGGCACCAAGATGAATACCTCGCCATTGTAGACTGACTCTTGTCCAGCTGGGGCCTTGGGCCTTTTCAGTCATAGACCTGTGAGGTGTGACTTTCACATCTGGAAAGAGAAAAGGAAACATTTCTGTGGCCAGTGGATTAAATAATAGTGTCTGCTTAAAAACTGTTCAGAGGGTTGGAAGTTTTGGGTTCTCATGAGAGATGAATTAGAAAGTGGAGTGCAACTGAGGCAAAGGTGCGTGACAGAGGAGTGCATGTACATCTTGTGTACATGTATGTAATTATAATTTGTTGTCTGAGTAGTGACTTAATGCTGCATTTGACCGTTGTTCTTTAGTAGTAAACAAATATGCCCAACTGAAATCAGTGAGTGGAAGGCCCACATTTGGAACAAGGATAGAATACAGCTCAAAGTGACTGTTCTAATTTAAGTCTTTAACTGATCCTGTCATTGTTCTTAGAACTCTTTTCATAACTATTTATGAGCTTCATGCATTGCACCAAATCCCAGCCAGCATTAAGATAAATTGGAGAATAGTATGGCTGATCATGCAATCTCTATATGGATAACACATACATTAAGAACTAGTCATCTCAGAAAAGGTTTCCAGATTGAGCCTATATAATGTGTTTACAAATGTGCATATTATTCCTAAAGAGATTTGCTGAGGAGGAAAAAAAACCCAGAAGATTATTTCTCTAAAGAAAACTATATTGTAGTATTACATGAAGCTTATTACATGAAGTGTTAGAGTTAGGAGCTTGGGGAATAATGTAAGTTGGACAGCACATGAAAACTTCACAGCAAATCCTAATAAATATCAGAGTTTAGTAATTTGTACACATTTATTTGGCTCATTTATTTTTATCTAAGAAATTTGCCTAAGAAGCAGCTGTCTCAAAATAGAACACAGTGCTTCCATCAAGCTACCATTCAAATAGTTCTTTGAAACTTCTATTCTGGGTCTATGCAAAATATTTTACATATGCACATATTCTGATATTTATCTATCATCTCAGATTTCCTAATGAAAGTGTCAAGTTGACTGACTAAGACTCTTTGAAAAGGTCCACTTAGTAGCATATTTGTATATTTCTTGCAGACTTTACAGACAGTGAAACTAGCTCCATGTTAATGATTGAACAGTGTTTATTTAACTTAGTACTGTCTGAATAATTATTGTTTTGTGCTTTTGAAGTACCTCTGGTGCAGTGAGGAAATAGTGCTTAAGTGTTTTTTGTGTGGTTTCTGAACTGCAAAATACAAGGTTAAAGAACTGCTTGAAGAATAAAATGTAGATTTCTGTAAAGATTAACAGCAATCAAAATAAGCCTTTAATTACATTAAAAGTACATTCACATCTTTTCCTCAGAAAAGCTCTTGTAACTTGACTTACTATATCTTAAAATTGTTTGAGCAAACATTTTTGTTAATGAACACTTCTAAGAATTTGGAGGTAGAAATTTAAATTGTTGCTCTGAGTTCATAAGCCAGGTACTTTTCAGCAAGTGCTCCTATCTAGTGGGGAGAAATGCCTTATGCTCCTCCAGTCATAACAGTTGTTGGTCCAAATCGTGCAAATAAGTTGTTTGAGTCTGTAAAGAACAATAGGTTGCAGGAAGATGGAAATTAATAGTCTTTTTTTCCTATACATGTACTAACTGCAAAGCTCAGTTAATTTCTTCTTTTCATTGTTATCCTTGCACTCAGTCTTTGCAGTCCTTTAAATGAGTATCCTTTAAATCTTCTATTGACTCTGATGATTGTATGCAAAAGGTTTGTAGGATTTCTGAGGCAGGAACCTTCTTATTTGTCAGTTTGGGAGCACATTCATTCTATCTTATAGCACTGTACTTACAGGTTGGACCTCTCTCGTCCAGCACACTTGGGACTTTATTCTGAATGGAGAAATTTGCCAGACCAGGGGAGGTCCCTTGCCATTAGCTCCCCAGCCCACTGCTGGCTCCATTTCTGACCCCAGCTGGCCCCACTGCCTCCAGCCGGCTGTGCTGCCAGCTCTGGCCGGACTCACTGTACACCAGACCCCCTACCACCAGGCTCCCAGCTGTGCTGCTGGACCTCCCATGCAATGGGTCTCTTGGGCATACCACCAGACCGCACTCCTGCCATGGGGCTCCTGGCCGTGCCTCCAGATCCTTCCCTGTCTTGGGGCTTTCTAGTCTAGGAACATCAGTGGACCTGCTGGACCAGAGTCCCAATTTAGGAAGGTACAATTTGGACTACTCTCACAATAAGTGCATATCCTTGAGTGTTGTATAGAAATCCAGAACTCTCTTCTTTTAGTTGAGGCTGGAATTTACAGTATCAATTGCTAATCAATTGTGAAAATCATTTGCTCCAAATCTTTTAAATCTGATCTGCTCTTGTCATTTGGCAACACTGTATTCTGTTGTGTCAGTAGGTTAGTTTCTACCCATTTTTTTGAGTGTAAGACATGAGTAAGATTATGTATAGGCTAAAGAAGTAATATTGGTTTTTTGTGATGTTTTCAGGAGGGGTCTGTCCAAAGGATCTACAGATGATTGTTTCCCAAGGAAGAGAGGAGATCTTCCAGCAAGTTTTATGAAAAACGTACAGGATGCCATTGACAATTTTACTTGGTATGCAATTACATTAACTTCTGAAATAGCGCTTACTAATAATAGAACAGTGGGCTAAGTATGTTGTTATGAGGTAATCCATTATAGCTAAATATTACAATGTGTCTACAGCAAATTGGGATAATTGACAGATTGCCTAATTATTCCAGAAAAAATGGCTACATTTAATAGTATGCTTTTACACAAGTGTAATACAGTTTCTTTTCACTAAAGTATATTCCCTAACATAATTAAGAATTTCATCAATCATTTTTGGTAAGCTTTTCCTATAGGAATAATAGCTCAAGAAACATAATTTGTTATTACAGGTGATTATTTTCAGATTTCCTCTTGGATTTCATTGGTCATTTCTAGATCATTTTTATGGATGACAGATGTTAAGTGAGGACTTAAATTTTCCAAATAAATATTATGTATGTCATGCAAGAGAAGCAGCAGTTTAGCTAGCTTAGATAGCAAGTAAATTAACCTTTTTATGTATTAGTCTGCTTAACTTAAAGTTTGTCTTCTCTGAATTTCAGCCTGATAACATTTGTCCTTTGTCTGCATTTTCTTTATTTAATACGTTGTACAACCACGATTCTTTGCTTCTCAAAATTTCTCCTTTCCCACTCGAGCCACATTTGCTGAGTTACAAAAAAGAAAAATGTGGGATTTTTATTAAACTATCATTATTGTATCTAAAAACATTTAATCTAGAAAAAGAAACACACTGTACTGCATAGAATACAGATAATCCTAATTTACATAAATTCTCATTTATCAGAGCTCCTGTAAATATCATTATGCTACTGGACTCTGGTGTTCTACAGTCTCAGAGCAAAATGAAGAAGCACAAGCCACCATGGCAAGACCAGGGTCAAACTTCAGAGTTCAGTGAAGAGAAATCTATCTGCTTTTGTGGATCATCTAACTTTAAAAAGGCCTCACTTCAGCTATCTACCATTGCCTAGAAGTTGTCTGGTCTACAGAGATGACTGTATCTTCGCTGCACTTCAGTATTGGAGTACAGCCATTTAAAAGTCTTTCGAAAAACTAAAAACCTATAACTGAAAGTTTGGAATGGGTCCACTCTCTGTATTAAGGATGTTAAGGAATGGGTATTTTGCTAACCGTGTAGTTGATACAACTACACGATTAGACGATAAGGGGAGGCTCTCTCCGGGACTGCTGCATCTCGGCATTTTAAATGTACAGTGAAAGCTTTGTTATCTGGCACTCTGTTAACCAGAAAACTTTGTTAACTGGCATTGCCCCTAGCCAAAATACTATCACATCTTCAGGCGCACAGGCCTGGCTTGGTTTACCATGATTGGCTTAACATTATTTAAGAAGCACTAACCATCTTTAACTCAAAATAGAAATGTGAGACCAATTGCCTCACACGACAAAACTACCAATATTAAAAACTTGAGTTTTACTATTATTGTCCATTGGTTTTTCCTAGGTCGATGGGACCCTCAGATAACTGAAACACCCTAATCCCCAAGCATGCCGGATAACACAGGTTTTACTGAAGTAAGAGCCCAAAGGCTCTTTTATCTAATTTATTGAAGAATAGCCCAGTGTCTGACTCTGTAACGAAGGCTCTTACTGCATTTAGAATTCCGAGGTGCAGCATCCCAGACCCGCATGAGCCAGGACTGCTCATTTCCGGCTTGCGCAGGGACCAGTAGCCCCTGTTCGTTGTGGTGGGGCTGCTGCTGGAGCAGCCAAACTTGGGGCCAGCTCCAGCTGCTGCAAACAGGGGATGTTTCTCAGCAGCAAACCCTATCTGTGGGGGGAGGAGAAAGGGTAGAGGAGAGACCCAGCTTCCCACTGGGACCCCCGCAGACAGAGGTTGCTGCCAGAACAGTCTTTCCCTTCCCTGCTGGCTCTGATAGAGCATAAAATATAATATGTAACAATAACTATAACAAGGGAAAACTAATTGAAACTTTTCTAGTTTTAAAAACTTTGTGTAAGAAATAATGCAAATTGAGCCCATCAGTTTCTAATAGCTTTCAAAGGGTTTGCTTCTTTATGACTTGTACAGTTTTGTCTTCACTGACTTTAAATATGCAGGAAGACAAATTATGAGTCAACAGTGTGATGCTGTTGCAAAAAAAGCAAATATGATCTTAGGTTGTATCAACAGGTGTGTTGTAAGCAAAACTTGTGAAGTCATTCTGCCGCTCTACTCTGCACTAGTTAGGCCTCAGCTGGAGTACTGTGTCCAGTTCTGGGCGCCACATTTCAAGAAAGATGTGGAGAAACTGGAAAGGGTACAGAGAAGAGCGACAAGAATGATTAAAGGTTTAGAGAACATGACCTATGAAGCCAGGCTTTATGAACTGGGCTTGTTTAGTTTGGAAAAAAGAAGATTAAGGGGGGACATGATAGCGGTTTTCAAATATCTAAAAGGGTGTCACAAGGAGGAAGGGAGAAAATTTGTTCCTCTTGGTTTCTGACGACAGGACAAGGAGTAATGGGCTTAAAGTGCAGCAGGGGAGATTTAGATTGGACATTAGGAAAAAATTCCTAACTGTCAGGGGGGTCAAATATTGGAATAAATTGCCAAGGGAGGTGGCGGAATCTCCCTCTCTGGAGATATTTAAGATCAGGTTAGATAGACATCTGTCAGGGATGGTGTAAACAGAGCTTGGTCCTGCCTTGAGGGCGGGGGGCTGGACTCGATGACCTCTTGAGGTCCCTTCCAGTCCTATTATTCTATGATTCTATGATTCTTTCACTAAGTTCCACATAGTGAGTATGTAAGCATGTGTATGGACGCACGTATAAAGTAAATGACTATACCCATGTTCTGGGTGTCCTGGTAATAATTAAAATGATAATAACTCAGCAGTGTAATGCAATAGAGAATATTCCCATCCTACTCTGCCTAGGAGCCCACATCCATATTATTACTCTTATGTAACAGATGGATTTCATAGCATATTCGGAAAGTCACATATCATACAAAGGCATATATCATTAGCAGGGCTTGCTGAACCATGGAAAGCCCTGCTCACCAGCCGCGCTGTTTGGCGATCTGCACATGCGCAGATTGTTCTGCACATGTGCAAATCACCGGAACCCAGCTCTTCCGGGTTGCAATCTACTTGTCACAGGCGAGTAAATTGCATTATTTGTCGAACCCTGATCATTACCATAGACATGCTATGAATACGTGTAATGTTATTTTTAGTAGGTTTGTGTGAATTGCATTTTTTTCTTCTTTTGTTTGTTTTTACAGTGAAACTGTTTCGTCACGGTCTTCTAGCAGTCCTATAACAACAACAGACTTGAATAATTCTTGGTCTGGAATACAAAGCTATACTACTGGCTTTTCTACGGAAAGAAGCTCAATTTACTCTTGGAGGGATGAGGTATAGCAGACATTTTTACTAATAATATTTTATCTAATTTATTGAAGAATAGCCCAATGTCTGTGACTCTGTAACACTGAAATGCTGGCTGTTCCCTCTGGGCAGCGCTGTTGTCTCCCTGGCTGTTCCCTCTGGGCGGTGCTGTTGCCCGAGTCACGTCCTCCCGCCGTGGAGCTCGGCTGACTTCTGCGCGGCTCAGTTGGTCGCTGCAGAGGAGCAAGTGGTGCAAGCAACCGTTTGGGCTTCATGCTCCCCATGCAGCACGGGGAGCGCGGAGCCCAAATGGCTGTTTGAGCTTCGCGGTTCCCCGAGTGAGAGGCAGGAGGGGGAGGAGAAGAGAAAGAGAGAGACTGAGAGAGGGACAGGAGGCGGAGGAGAGCTGAGAGAGAGAGGGTGAGGCAGGAGGAGGAGGAGAGAGAGAGAGAGAGACGGAGCGAGAGACCGGAGGCTCAGGAGAGAAGACCGACGTGGAGAAGAGACCTGAAAATCCCGTCTTATGATGGGCAAATTGGCCAGTTTATTGAAGAAAGATTAAACTATTTTACAGAATACTAAGTATTTGAATAGATGACAGCACATGACACAATTGAAAAGTTACTTTTTCTAGTGCAGGACAGCAGCTATAGCAATAAAGAAAACCAAATTAGTAATTAGGTCATTGTTTAACTCAATTATATTTAGAGTGACTGACAATATTTAAAAAATGTAAAATGTTGTACATTAGATATACTTTTAATTTTAATAAGGTTTTAGATATATTCACTAAAAACAGTCTTATAATTTGTAGGAATTTGATAAAGCTAATACGCAAAGAGTGCATCGGTTATTTTGGGATGTGGATGAAATGTTGTTTGAAGGAAAAGTTAGTTCTCAAATCCAGAGTCTGCAGGTAGAATGTAAAGAGTGGACCAAACGATCTCTCCATCTGAGGTAAGGGAATTTCTTGCTAGAATTAATTCTAACCTATCAGAATTCTGTTTGATTAATTTATGTTTTAGGTATGCCAGTTTGAGCTGTTCTTATTGGATTATATTTATAGTACTATTTCAGAATTGTGTTCAAATTCAACTGTAGCTCAGTGGTAAAACTGTGTGTTAATTCTTCGTCATGCATGGACTCTCAATGCTCTACCGGCTCATGATATTCATCCAGGGCGGGCCTGAGGTATTCTGGCGTCCCGGGCACGGGTGCGCGGCGCCACCCCTGGGTACACGGCGCATGCACGGGCCCGCGCGTGGGAAGCGGGCTTGCCCCCCTAGGGTGCGCAGGCCCACCCCCGGGGCGCACAGCGCATGCGCGGCCCAGCTACGGCCACTGACGCGCAGCCCTGGGCCCCC